TTCATTTCGCTTCCATATCGATGACAATGATTTTTTGTGTGTGACGAAACACTAAAGTGCTCCACTTTCTTTTATGTGATGCTTGTTTTACTGAGTAAACACTGAAAACTATTTCTACTCAATGAGACATAATGCCTAAGCCTTTGTTTGATAAAAGGCGATGAGGGAAGGGGAAGACAGGAAATTTAAAAAATGCTTTAGAGAAAATGTTTATGTTATATGACCCAAAATGCCTCTTGCTGCCTCGCGCCTTTTAAAAATAACTTTATCAAAATGGATGTGGGAATAGGGATAATTATTTTCAAAATTCTTGTAAATGATTTTATTGGATATAATTTTGTTTAATTAACAATAATAATAATATTGAAAGACCAAAATAATAACTTCTTCAAAATAGCTGAAATCAGGACCTTTGTGGGATTATATATGAGGAGCTTGGAGGAATAATCTATAGCTCTTACTCGTTTCTCCCTTCCCCATGTTTCCTCCAACCAAATACACAACACTTATCCACTCACCCCCTCCAAATCTCTCAACCAAACAAGGGCTAAATAAATAATCTTACATGAGATGAGCTTTGGTCATTTTATTCATTGCACTTGCACATCCTTAGAAATGAATTTATGTTTGTGTGTTTAAGCACTAGACACTAATATGCTTTGCCTTATTTTGCTTGAAGCTACATCCTCATTTTATCAGTTGAATCTTGACCATCACCATGAGATAATTATTCAGATCTGCATACCAATTCTCAATAATATGATACCTTACTTATTTTTGGGAGTTAGTATTTGCAATTTGATTTTTTTCCTTGCACTGTATTGGTCCCCGAATTCTTTTGGGATTAAGGCTTGGATGTTGTTGTTGTTGTTGTTGACTGTATTGGTCCATTGTCAGGTTATACAAGGGGATGTTCTGAAGTGTGATCTTCCATACTTTGACATATGTGTGGCAAATATCCCCTACCAAATCTCATCCCCTCTTACTTTCAAATTACTATCTCATAGGCCACTATTTAGGGCTGCAGTGATTATGTTTCAAAGGGAATTCGCTATGCGGCTTGTTGCTCAGCCTGGTGATACTCTCTATTGCCGCCTTTCTGTCAACACTCAGCTATTGGCTCGAGTGTCCCATCTACTAAAAGTAGGAAGAAACAACTTCAGACCTCCACCAAAGGTTGACTCTTCTGTAGTAAGAATCGAGCCGAAGAAACCTTCTCAACACATAAATTTCAAGGAATGGGATGGTTTGGTTAGAATCTGCTTCATTAGGAAGAATAAAACTCTAGGAGCAATTTTTAAGCAAAAGTCTGTGCTTACTTTGCTGGAAAAGAACTATAAGACTCTACAAGCACTGAAGATACAACCTGAGAATGATTTGCCATTAGATGATGCACACATATCATTGGCAGTATCAGCCTTGGGAGATACACTTGGTGACTTGGACATGGATGATGATGGGGATGACGATGATGAGAATGAGATGGATATGGATGATGGGGATGGTAAAGAATCATCAGTTTTTAAGCAGAAAGTTATGTCAGTGTTGAAACAAGGTGGTTTTGAAGATAAGAGGTCTTCCAAACTGTCTCAAGAAGATTTCATCCACCTACTTTCTTTGTTTAGCCAGGCTGGCATTCACTTCTCTTAGGATAGTTCTATGCCGTTTATAACAAAGAACTAATACTATATATTTTCATCTAAAGTTGAGTATCCATGATCAAAGTCCAGTTTTGGTTCCTTTGTCCTAGTTAATAGTGAGATTAAATTTATACGCTCATGCTTATCCTTGTGTGTAACAATTTCATACAGAAGTGTTCGTTGATTCGTAAAATTGTAATGCTGTATTGTGGTGAACTTGTGTTTTAAGGGTTACACTGAAAAATTTAATCTGTTTTAGCTTGAAGAAGGGATTGCTTAATGAAACAGATGCATTTTTGAGATCTTGGTCTTTCTCGAATCTAATGTAGTCAAGTTCTGGTGACCGTCTGGAATGCAACTCTTCGTCTGAATTCAAGTTCTGGTCACTCTCTTGATGAAGTGAACAAAAATTATCCACATTTCTCTTTTGTTTACTACGTATATTTTTGAGAATATAGTCAAAAGTTTCATTTAACAAAAATCATAGTTATCACAAGAGTAAAACAGAAAATTTTAAATTGTTCGGTACTCAAATTTGAGACGTTACCTATTTGTTGATGGAATCAGTTACATTGTAATTCTAAAAGTAGCCGAAAAATATATGGACACTTGAGGGAGATGTATTGTATTAGGAGTTAGTGCCAAAATTTTAAAAGGGAGATTGTGAAAGTTTATGTTCAATATGGACTTTTAAAAATCTAAACAAATCTAAATCTAGGTGTATTCAATATATACATTTAAAAGACCAAAAAAATCCAAGCATATTGGAAATTTTGTTATTCTTTTGGACTTAATTCATGGAATTTTTATGGACTTTTAACTCATTCTTACTAAATTGATTCTTTACGATTGCCTCTTTTGCTCATCAAAGATTTTCGTGGACATTTTTTTTGTATTCAACTCGTCACATGTATGCATAGAATCGTTCCCAGATTCATACTAGAGTTGTCTAATTATTTACCCAAGAACGTACACCGGCCAATCGACCTTGGAGTAGTACCGGATCGGGAGGTGGGTACCAGGACGGTCTCGATATGCAAAATTTGAATGTTATTAAAATTCTTATTTATCATTTTTCGATAAATAAAATTGAACAAGGAGATTCTACATCAATACTGATGAACAAAATAAACTTCAAAAAAATATGAAGTGATTTTTTATATATTACCTAATGAAGAAAAATGTAGGGGTGACTGGTAAGGTCGGTTTGGTCCTCCAAAAGAAAATTAGGAATCATTTGAAGAATAGTTAATCCAATATCGATTCAGTTCTAGAATATTTTTGAAGAACCAATATAAGAATCTATAGTATCATATCAGTCTAATTCTTTATGTTGTTAGTTAAAGACCATTGACAAAAAAATAGACAAATTGACCAATTTTTCTGGGACGGAGGGAGTAACATAATACTCTTAACCAAAATAATTTCTTAAAAATTCATGCAAGATTTATGTCATTTCTGTGAGACGGACAAATTCTATCTCACAAAGAAAGAGAAACGAAGAACAATCTATTCACTCTCACTCTAGACTGCTCCTCCGATATTAACTGGGACCAACAAGTGGTATTAGAGCCTCCTTGTTCTTTAAATCTTTTAGGTTACCTTTTGAACAAAGATCCACTTGTTTGTTGCTTTTGATGTTATTTTACTATATCATGGATAATACACTTTCCAAGAACTTGATGTTCTTAGTACAAAAGTTTGACGACCGGAAAATACGAATACCAGCATAGTTGTCTATCCTACATGAAGAAATGTGGGATGTGCTAACCACAAGACCAGCTAAAGTCATGCATGAAGATAAATCAGAGAAAAATGCAGGAGTCGGAATTGGGTGTTCCGACTAGAGGCTAGGCTCACATTTTTCCTTGGAATATCTCCAATCGGAATTGGCAAATCCAACAGGGGTGGAGCACCATTTTTTTAATAGAAATTATCTATCGGAGCCCATCATCAATAAATTAAAATCCAAAAAACACATGACCAACTAGATTCCATTTTACTCCATTAAAATCCATTAAAATGAAGTTGGTATTTGATTTTATAAATTTAATTCACAATACGGATGAATTAAACATAAAATAATGTAATCAATGTTTTGTTATTAAAAAAATATGCATATTTTTCATTTTAAAAAATATCACGGTATTAGTTTTACAAGTTTAAAAAACTGACCTTATTTTAAAAAAAATCAGAATTAACAATTTCCACAGGAAATTAAAAAAAGAAAAGAAACACTCTTGTCGGAATTGGTATATCCGACTGTAGAGGCACCTAATTTTTTTGAAAAAGAAAACTTGATTCGGAATTAACAATTAGGAAGTTTAAAAAAAAACTCTAGTCGGAAAAGCCAATTCCGATTCCCGCTTTTTTGGGAAACCCTACTTTTTTTCCCGTATTTTGGCAATGCATGTTGAGGATTCTCGTATTTTGGTAAATCACCCGATAAATCATGCATACACAGTTGGAGGAACTCAGCCACTGATAGTCACTGAACTAGGCAGGTTGGGTAGTGCTGGACCCGAACCCGCCCCGTGACATAACTAAGTAGACTCGCCCCACCCGTGACCCGCACGGGTCATTAGGTGTTGGCCCATGACCCACCCCATGGGTCCTTCCCGCCCCGCCTCGCAATAACCTAATAGCTAGTACACATTTCTAGTTTTATGAAGTTATTATAACTTGAATGGTACATAAATTTCGTCTCCAAATAGTTATAAAAAAAACAAATATAATAAATCATAGTCACAATAGAATAAAAAGTTTCAAAAATTAAGAAAACATAATATAGACTTAAATAGTTAACTATTTATTTATGAATAAATGAATATATAAATGCTAAATACAAAAAGCACATTAATCAAGAATTAATTTTTCATCTAGCTGAAAAAGTAAATATTTAAATATTAAAAGATTGAGAAATTCATAAGTTATTACTCACACATGTATATAGATATACATACATACATATATATGTGTGTGTATTTGTAATATAATTAAAAAAAGATAAGTATTTAAATATTGAGCGGGTCTGGTCAGGGCAGATATTTATGCACGTACCTACCCCATTGTATGCACGGGGGCGGGACGGACCCACCAAATTTGCGAGGCGGACGCACCCCATTTGCCCGGCGGGTCGGGTCGGACCCGCTTCATTTGTAAGGCGGGCCAGACCCGCCCCAAATGTGTCAGGGCGAGGCGGGTCTCTACGGGCAAGTTTTTTTTTTTTTTTTGACATGCCTACATTAAACCCATATTTGAATGGACTCCTGAAGAAAGGAAGAAATATATATACAACTTTGACAACATCGCCAAAGACATCTTACACAAGGCTATAGATGATGGTTACTTCATAAGGATAAAGAAGTGTGCAATGGCTAAAGAGGTGTGAGATACACTAATCCTTATTTGTACAGGTGATGAACAAGACAAAGATAACAAGCAAACTATAACTATGAAGAAGTTTGAAGACTTTAAACTTCCACCAGAAGAGTGCATTGCAGAAATGCAAACTAGATTGCTCAAACTCACAAATGAGATTACAGAGTTGGGGAAAGAGTTGTCCCAATAAAATCGACATGAAAATTCTAAAGGTCTATCACTTCAATGGAAGATGAATGTCATAGTCATGAGGGACAATAGAGACCTCAGAACATATAAGACAGAAAATCTCTATTCTGATCTAACACTCAGTTTGAAGTGGATGGCACATCAATGCTCATTTGAAGTGGGTGGCACAAGCTATTCCTCAAGATAATAACCTAAAGACCAATGTTCAGAGCATACTACCCCCATTAATCATTATTTCATGCATCATATAGGCTACAACACACTCATTTCAAGCCAACTCATGCATCATATAGGCCAATGACCATGGTAATCAACACCATCAGGCATATAAGAGGCCACATCACACTGATGTGAATCAAACCATGCATCATATAGGTCAACCACTATGGTAATCAACAAAATCAAGCATCTAAGAGGATACATTACACTGATTAGAACCAAATTATACATCATATAGGTCAATCCCCATGGTAATCAACACAATCATGCATTTAAGAAGCTAAATCAAACTGATTTGAATCAAAACATGCATCATGTAGGTGAATCGCTATGGTAATCAACACAATCAGACATCTAAGAGGCTAAATCACACCGATTTAATTAAATCATGCATCATATAGGTCAATCACCATGGTAATCAACCGAATCAAGCATCTAAGGTGCTACATCACACTGATTTGAATCAAATCGTGCATCATATAGGTCCATTATATACCATGGTAATCAACACAATTAGACATAAAAGAGGCTACATCACACTGATTTGAAACACATCATGCATCATATAGGTGAATCACAGTGGTAATCAGCAAAATCAGTTCCTGTAGGGGCTACATCACACTGATTTGAAACATATCAAGCAAAAAGCTAGGTAAATGAATTGACGATTAGGTAATGACACATAAATGGTTAAACAAAACAATAGAAATTGTATTCATCACATGCATCAGTTCAGCCATAGTTTTTAACAAAAAATACACATTAGGCAACCAGATAACATAACAACGTAACTTAGGTATAAAAAAAGCGACTAGGTTACGGGTGTCCCTAAGAAAACGGCATCCAAGGACGACGAGGATTGTGACTGAAGACATGGTCGTAGGGATTTGGATACCATGACGCCTGTGAGTTCACCTCTTCCCCTTCTTCGTCTAAAAATCCCTTGTACGTGTCCTCTGCACAATCTGATCCCCATTTCTGCCGTATAGGCCACCGAGAATCAGTTTCCAAAGGACTCCACCCTCTGCATGTGTCAGATTCGGTTTGTAGCATTAGTGTTCAATTCAGTATTAGGCAACTCATTAGATTCAAGATCTGGTGGTAGCACATCCGCAAAACCCATGGACCACATCAAAGAACCACAAATACACATAAAAGTTACAAGAAGAGAAAGAGACAGACTTTGATGAAGGAAGGGAGATATAGAGACTCATACGAAGGGATATGGACAATTAAATATAGGGAGATTTCCCAAAATAGGAGTAAATAGGGTTTGAAAGTCCAAAATACGACTACTATGTTTTTATTTACTGTCATCTTGAGGACATGATTGTCAAATAGTTGCAGTACTGTGTATTTAACATGACAGTAGTTATTATAATTAATGACAATATTTTTCAATCATGGCAGTATTTTTCATACATGCCAGTAACAACTCCTACTTCGGGAATAAAAACATAGTAGTCATCATTTACTCTTATTTAGGGCAATTTCCCTTAAATATATTAATTAATTGATTAGGGGTAGAAATGTAATGTTCAGTCCTATTTAAGGAAAATCAAATATATGATCCTATTTTGGGAAGGCTGATATCTTTTAGTCCTACCATGATTAATTCACCTTTATATAAGATGATTAGCATGGGAGCGCGCGTTGCGCGATATCCGTGCCCAACGTTTGAAAACAAGCCGAAAAATGGGAAAAACGTGTTAAAACAGAACGAGCAAACAACCAGTTAAAATGAAAAAGCTTGAAATGGTGGATGCCAATTTAAAGTAGCAAGATGAAACAAGCATTTGAGCATACAATGCCTCATAGAGTAGCAAAATAAATTATAAGGCTAATAGATATAGTGTTGTTATTTAGCTAATCAACACGTTCTTAAATTGGCCTCATTGGTACAAGGAAAAAATAAAAGAGATGAAGCCTGACCAAACAAACAACTCAATGAGACAAATTCACAAACATATATAGCGTTTCAGTTTTTTTAGTTAGCAAGGAAGAGCAACCGTACCTTGAGGGATAAAGAAGTACTTCGTTGCATATGAGAACCAGCCCCAAACTTCTATTTCGTTCATATCCTGGAAATGAAATAGAAAGAAAAGCAAACAAAAGAGAAGAAATCTCAGCTGTCCACATCAAGGTGAGACTTGAGAGGCGTTAACCCTTCTCCATACCAGGCACATATGATTTGATCACGAAAGAAAACTACACATGTGTGCACAAACCACAATTTCACAAGTTGATCAAATATAAGATTAGACAGCAACGTAACCGAACTGTTGTGCTAAAAGCAAACAAATTAGAAATGAGAAGTAGTACCTATGGCAGCTGAGATTAGCGAAACCGTAAACCAATAATAATAATGAAAATAAAATGAAATTAATAAGGAAGAGAGGTGATGATTACCGAGGTTGCTCTATTCATTTTTTATGGATCTTGGTTTTTACCACAACCTTTATGGACACTCAACTCAAAGTGTTTTATTCTACATAGACGTAGTATTTTATGAAATTAAAAAAAAAGATTTAGAGGAATGTCATTCTTCAAATGTTTTCAAACAGAACCACAAAGAAGACTAATTTCAATGTAAGAGTACTATGTTTTGAAACAGAACCACAACACCAAATTGATAATATCAAAACAAAGAAGTGCTCACTCTACAATGCTTAATTTTCATATTTATTTGAAATGGAATCAAATGTTTAGCTTAGTAGAATTTGAAAAGTCCATGCAAAGAATATGAGTATGCAAAGAAAAGTACACAATCAACTAATTTATTCGGAGTAGTATAATGATTGATATATGTGATTCTTCTAACTTTGTTTTATATCTTAAGAAAAGTCCAATTATAGGTTCTTTATATCTTGTAAAAAGAGTCTTATAATGAGATGAATTAAGAGACAAATGAAACTTCAAAGTGACTTAAAATAGAAGAGTATTAAGAGATTCCCAAACGGTCAAAGTGTCAAACCTACACATCATCTATTAGCTAATTCAAATGTGGCTAATTGAAATGGACACTAATGATCTGTTAGGTTATGGATTACCAATAAGAATGACAAATTCCAATAAAAGGGACATGCCAATATTGAACTCACTGTAAAAAAAATAAAGGATTGATGTGTGCCACCTTAATAATGCACACCTTAATAATGCAGTGTATTGACAAAAAACAAATCAAATGACATTACAGAATAGGAGGCGAGCGGGCAGGAATCGGAGGAGAGCAGGAAGCTGCTGCTAAGAAACATAATAACTACCTTGCAACATAATAGAAATGTCCAAAATCAACACACATAAGCACAAACGACATTAAGAAAACATATTATTAGAGTACACATAGTTCTTAACTTATTGAGTATATCAGCTTTATTACCTTATCAAATACATCTTCTACCAAAGAAACACACATTTAATTCATCACCTTAACCGGATTCCATTTTAAAAAATTTCCTTTCAACAATGAATCCTCAAAGGCTTGGATGTTCGTACCTGCAACATTTCAAAAATCTGTCGGGGCAGTCTTTCTTGGCTGCTGATATACCTGTAACAATAGAAATATTATGGGAAAAAGAGGCCCTCAGACGGAGCATCGTCATAGGACAAGTTTGAGGTAACTGTAGTATCAAATTTCAGCTTCAACTTTGGGTGGATCAGAATTTAATTCATCATCTCCAGAAGATGTTGTGTGTTTTCTGCGACCAGTAGTAGCACCAATCAAGTGAGCATCAAGGAGAATCAAAAGCGGATGAACTCCACCAATGGTTACTGCCTTGTTAGAGGTAGTCACCGGGGGTTCATCTAAGCCTACAGTAGTATCCCAATTGGTCAGTGTGCCATTACTGGCTCCTAAACCGGCATCTTTATTTATTTCTTCTTGTTTTCACCTGAGTGAAGCCATCGGGCTCCTCTTCTGGTGTATTTGGTGGACTTGAAACAACAAGGTTAGTAATAATAGGGGGGTGTCCTCAGATTGATTGGGATTATCATCACTGGACATGGGAGGATAAGTGTAGTGTATGCATTATCAGTTTCAAAAGAAGGATCAGAACGAGGTTCTTCATTTCCGGCTTTCCCTTTAAAAGCATAAATTCCGGGGCCAGGATCTGAATTCATATGACTGCCATACACCGAGGCCTCATCAGGCAAGGACTTAACAGGAGCTGCAACACCAGAAACACAATTAGCAGATTGTGTGTCATCAAAAACAAGATCAATCGGAGCAACAACAGCCACATGGCCTTTTTCAAATGGGCCATCAAAAGCAGAACAATAGGTAATTATTCCTGGTCCAGGGGCAGTGCGAATCTGTCTGGCTTTGAAACCAGTAGTGCACCCGCCTTCAACTGGAGCAAATATTTCCTGGGCAGCTAAATCAACTTGCACAAAATCAATCGGGGCTAAACAATCGACAGTAGCTAATGGCTTCTTTTCCAGGAGCAGTGTTCCCATCACAAAGAAACAATAGATTTTTTCACACTGTGATGTTAAATGGATGTTAAAAATCAACCGGGGCTAAACAATCGACAGTAGCTAACGGCTTCTATTTTAATCCATTTCACACAGATGGCAGTTACCTGTGATGGAGCCTTCATTGTCGCAGTCGGAATCTGGCAAACACTTCCGTTGAAAACTGGTGGCAGATTGCATCTTGGTTGAGATGTAGGGTTCAAAGACTGTTGGCCTCCCCATGGTAGAGAAAACGTGAGAGACCCGAAGTGGATTACAGGAGCTTCATCAGCCTGGTTCCCTTCTACCACGCCGACGAGATTGCCGGACTCCCCCAATATCGCCAGAGCTTCCCCTCAAACCCTCCGCATTAGCTTTATCGGGAGAGGAGATATATTTAGATGTACACTGACCATAAAGAATGAAAGGAGGGGAGTAGACCGCGTGGAAGAAAACGAAGGAAGCAAACGGAGGGAGCCGTTAAGTTCGTCTGCGGCAAATCTGAGCTTCCGTCCAGACTATTCACACGGTAAAAGGGCCAACTAACCCGTACTGGCACTTATCATTTTTAGGAGATAAGAAACAATTAGATAAATAATTGAAACAAATTAAATGTAATTCATCTAACAATGCGAGTTCGATCTACAAGAATAAGTGAGGTTCAAGCATCCAAATTTATTTTTTGTTAATTAGAAAACTAAAAATTGGGAGAATGATCATATAAACAAATTCAATCTCCTTATGATCAATTGTTATATTACACAACTTAATGAGTAAAAATACCAAGCGTTACTCAACTATTACACACATAGACAATGAACTTAAAAAATTAATACACTATCTGAGAATATTTTTTATTTTAATATACAAATTCTTGGTTGAATGTAATATATACGGAGTATAATATATAAACAACAATAATGTCCAAATTATACTTTTATATAATTACTACCTCCGTCTCATTTATATTGTCCCGGAAGAGGGTGACACAGTTATTAAGAAAAGTGAGTTTGTGTGGTTGATAGTAATTGATAAAGTAAGAATAAAGTAAGAATGATTTAGAGCCACACAAACTTTGCCAAATATGGTATGAGACAATTTAAGTGGGACTTCCTGAAAAGGTAAAACAGGACAATATAAATGGGACGGAGGGAGTATATATTACAAAATCTAAACTCAAATTAGGTTTTTTATATAGTTACTATTGGAAGGAAATTTGAGACATTGGGGGTTGACATAAATATTAAACAAGGATATTGACTAAGAAATTATCAAGTATATTGACTAAGAACCACTAAATATAGCCAAAATATAGAATGAGACATACATTTTGAATGAAAAAATGATGAACAGGCACAATGGAATGAAAGGAATATAAGGCAGTCAATCACAAAGGGAACAGACTTTCTCATACAATAAAAAACTATTTATTTATTTGACTCAAAAGAAGAATATAATGAGCATCCTTCTCAAAGAGAATAATATCAATATTTTAGAGACTAATTAGAAACTTTTTACCCACCAAACAATGTATAGCTATAAAAAAAAAAGCTAAAAAGTCACCTTTTGGCACAACTATTTTTGACATAGAAACAACTATGGGGCTTAGGTCATCTCCAGCCAATGCAAAAGGGGGGCACCATTTAAAAAAAACTTTATGCTTTTAATGTTTCTAAAACATATCTCTGTAAAACAATTTTAAACATATACTTAAATATCAATAAATATTCTTTTAAATTGATTGTTTAAAAATATACTCCCTCCGTTCTTTATTATCTGTCCCGCTAGCCTTGGGCACGAGTTTTAATAGAAAAATAGTAGGGTAAATGTAGAGTGTGTAGGGTAAATGATAAAGTAGGAAATAGAGTATATTAAAACGAGTAAAGTGGTAATAAAGTGATGATAAAGTAGGAAAGAGAGTATATTAAGTAGAGTAAAGTTATGATAAAGTAGGAAAGAGAAAGTAGTTTGTAAAAAGTAAGAGGGGTAAAAGTAAAAAAAGTGGGGGTATTTTATCAAAAACTTTCCTAAAATAGAAAGAGAGACAAATAATAAAAAACGTACCAAAATGGAATGCGAGACAGATAATAAAGAACGGAGGGAGTATATACGAGCATCTTCAATGGTACAATGTGCACGGTGCACACGTGACATGAGAGATGACCACATAAATATTAGTAAATAAATTATTTCTCTCCTTATTTGAATGATTTTATACAGTTTTGGTAAGTTTTTCTCCACAATGTCAAGGAGACCGTCTAATGTTGACATTACTGTTGACATTGCAAAGAAAAACTTACCAAAATTGTATAAAATCATTCAAATAAGGAGAGAAATAATTTATTTGCTAATAATTATGTGGCTATCACTCATGCCACATGTGCACCGTGGACATTATAGCATTAGAGATGCTCTACTAATGTAATATAATTAATTTAGTGCTAAATTGTATTTTTAATGTTCTTGTTATGATATAAAACTTAAAAAGATCGGTGCTTCTAATTCAAAGAGGAACCGTTAAACAAACAGAAACAATACTGTTTTTGACAAGTTTTATAGATAGATATGGAAAATAAAATCTTGTTTTTCGACCCCAAACAAGAACTTTAAGAAAATGGTAAAAATGGGAATATAAATATTGATGTGGATTTTCTTAAAAAACTGCCGATGTGGAATTTAATGTGTTGGCGGTATTAATGAAGATTTAAAGGTAGATAATAATGAGAATGTCAATAATAGTTTTTATGTATAACAAAAATATTTGATCCAAAAATGTCTACTGTTAAATTAAAAAAGAAATGGAGTAATAGACTTTTATCATAAGTTTTTTACCATCAAAATTCTTAAAGATGGCCCTCATGCACATACATATAATTTGCATTTGGCATATGGTAAAATACGATAGCATTCGCATGCAGGGCGACTAAGGAGCTAGCTCCATGGGACTCGTATACATTTTTCATTGCAAAATAAAATGGTTATTTAGACAATAATTACATAAGATAATTCGAGCATGCTTTGAGAAATAGTTTTGATATTTATATATTATAATGGTTCATTGATGATAATAGTGATGTCATAGATATATGTTTTTTAATATTCAAAATTAAATTGTCATCTAAGAGCATTCGCAATGTGAAGTAGTCTAGTCTAAATGAAATGTGACAAATGTCAAATAAAGGTAAGGCTTTCTAATACACATAATATAAAGTGAAGTGACTAGACATTAAACTATGAAATAAGGCTCCAATGCTTAAAGTTTTAGGGCGGAAGTTAGATAACCATATCTTGAAGCAGCCAAACCCCCAGAGATAATCGTGCACTTCATATTGAAATTGTTACCGGCGGTTACGAGAAGAAAATCAAATGTTTATTCATTTTGACCAGTCAGCAAGTCTACCATAATGTTTACACTCGGAAGTTCTCATGCACATTGTCTAATCGTTTTTTTTTTCAGCTCAGCAAAAAGCATAGGAAGACTACCCGCGTTGGAGGGGGTAATAGTCTAATGTATTGAGGTGGCGTATTTTTTTTAAGACTAGACAGTCCGCATTGCGGATGCTCTAAGAGTGCTAATTATTTCTTAAAATAGAAATGAGAATCTTTAGTTGGGATGTACAAAAAAAAGTGAAAACACTAGGACAGAGCGAGTACTGTATATTAGTGGAATAAGTAAACAAATATCAATGATTTCAACTCATAGGTTTGACTAGTGGAATGAGTTGACAGGTTTCAAGAAGATGTTTCGTAATTTAGCTTTATACCTATTTGCAGCTATTTTATTTCATCAATTTCGTCCAAACACGCTATGGTCGAACAACTATTTACTTAATGTGACAGGGATTGGCCCTATGGCCTTGGTTCTCTTTCACCTTATAAGGACTTGGCCCCGTTTGTGATGCAGCCTTAGCCCAATCTTGTTTCTCTTATCTTGAATTGACTATCCCTTTCTGACCGTTGCTCACTTACCATTCTGGCTATCCATTTCCATCCTTTATATTGCCTTCTCTCTTTGTTGATTTCTTGACCCGCTTGTCTGAAAACCTAGTTCTACAGAAATCTGAGAGAGAGATAGAGAGAGAGAGAATGACCTCCGACCACCTCCCTTCTTCCATCCCTCTACTGCTCTATGTGAGTATTTCATTTTTCTCTAAGGGTTCTAGGGTGGGGTTGGAGAAGGTAGTTGGTTTTTGGTTGGGGCGTGCTCTACCTGATGGCCTTTTCCTTGTCCCTAGGGCTGTGCACGGGTCGGGTTCGGGCGGATCGGGTTTGCAAACCCTAAATGCGTTCGGGTTTTTTAATTAAAATACTAGTCCTGACCCTTTGATATTTCAAATCGGGTATTTTGGATATTTTTAAGTCGGATATTATCGGATATCGGGCCGGGTTTCAGATATTTCGGTTATATTAAAAAATATATAATTGGATAATTAAAGTGTTTAAATGCCATTTTGACAAAAATTGTACACACTAGTGCACTAAATATCCAAATTACACAAATAATTTAACACAAATTGCACAAATAATTACACAAATAATTGAACACAAGTATTAATTTAACATATTCAAAGCACACACTACATAATTTAATATATTTCGGATATTTCGGTTATATTAAACACATTATAATTGGATAATTAAAGTATTGGAATGCCACTTTGACAAAAATTGTACACACTAGTGCACTACACATTCAATTTACACAAATAATTTAATACAAATTGCACAAATAATTACACAAATAGTTGAACACAAGTATTAATTTAACATATTCAAAGTACACACTAACATATACTATCGTATTTCGGATATTCGGTCGGGTCGGGTTGGGATCTTACAAACCCTACCCACCACCCGGTCTAGACCCAATATTAATCGGATTTTCGGTTTCAGGTTTTTCGGGTCGATATCCACTTCGGTTCAGATAATATCCGAAAAAATATCGGGTTTTTCGGGTCAGATCGGGTTTTGCTCAGTCCTACTTGTTCCTTATGGACCGTGTGGTGGTTGAGTCATATTTCTTTGTTTTTCCAATCTTGTGGTAGGAAATGTGATCTGGAAAAGATCTATTAGCCTTACAGTGGTATCAGAGTTTGGTCCCTCGTCTATCCTGACACGATCCACTGCAACCCTCTGAACCGCAGCAAGTCAGCAACTCGCCTCTGTCAGCATCGGTTCATCTTCTCCTCGTTGTTGGTAATTCGGATAAATCCCCTGGATTTCCGCTCCAGTAAATTTGCTTGAAACACCCTAGGTGCACCAGTTGGCTCTAGATTTAAATTTTATCCCCCTTCCCCTGCTGCATGCATAGCCAAACTGTGCGGTTTAACTGTCAGCTTTGTCTGACCTCCTTAGGTACGGTGGCTTGACTTTTTCAAGTTTTGTGGTGAATTGTTGTGTTTCATGTTCAAATCTGTGTA